CTATTTACTCTCTATCAGTATATTTTAACTGCTTTGCAGACATACTGAGTAAAATGGCAATGATAACATATGAATATTCCTGAACGCTATCACGAAAAAATCAAATCAGTTTTCTCAAAGCATCAATCATATATCATATGTATTATGATTTCATCAATAAGAACAAATATTTTCAAAAATAGCAAACTGGATGTACACCAGTACCATCAGCTCCATCTCAGCCCATCCTCATCACCTGCGGGAGATTTTATGACTGCTTTCAGCTAATACTGGTTTGGGTCGGGAAGCTTACCCTTATCTCTCCCAGCCTTCATCCATGTAATGCCTGGAGACAAGTTATCTGGTATTGATAAGCTGTGACGTTTCCACTAAATGCTTGGACAGATGGTGTTTTGCCACTCTCAATCCACCTCAACAGAGCTTTTACTCATATCCACACAGGCATACTCAGTGAAAACTTAATGTTACCTTTGATAACTCATCTGACCATGTTTGTTAGAGAGAAACAATCTGAAGATACCCAAATGATGGCCAAAGGCTACTGGTGTTTGAATATAAACCATCGATTCCTAAGTTCAGTAACTTCTGTGTAAGAATAAGAAACTCACATCCCCGCAACAGGCATACTAAGTGAGAATGGAATGTTACCTTCGACAACTCATCTGACCAAGTCTGTTAAAAAAATAAATGTAAATAAAGATACCCAATCTTGGGAAAAGGCTTCTGTGTTTAAATCACAGAATCCTAAGTTCAAATAAAATAATTATTTAATTGTTAAAATAATAAACTGAAGTGAGTATAAAAATTTCAGCTGAGTTCATTAATTCTCGGGCACATAAAGTAATCAGATACAAGGGTAGTACTCCTTTTTCACAATGAAAAGAATACCTACCAAATATCATGAAAATAATGCCATTAATATTTATAATATCTTGTCCAGCGTTACATTACCTGAAAATGTCTGTATTGAATGTACAAAGCATTGTATCACATACATCGCACACACCCGTCTTGTGATGCATACTTTACACATTGAGTTTTAATAACCCAACCTCACATGTACCGCCTTGCAAAACCAGTTTTTATACACATACTTGCTCAAGTACATTTTAACACTGTATGAAACAAATTTACATATATGCAAATATATATTTACAAAAATGCACATATATATCTACGAGTTATACACATATTATACAGTTACATCAATGGAGTGATTGTTATACACTTGTACAGGTACCAAGACAAAGTAAAGGTGAGATCGTAGTCGCCCCTCACCATGTTTTAAACCCAAGCCGCGGTAGATCTGACAACAGCGGTTCACATTATGATTAAGGGACATGCACGTAATAGCTATGTCAACAAGCACTTGCTCAAAACCAACAATGCTTCAACATATTGTATAAACACATGCTCTCGTTCCCCTGATAAAGGTTTTATTGCACCCGTCACACAAAGCAGGTTCTCATGCAGTGGAATGAATTTAAAGTACCAGTGTTGAGTTTTAGCATTCGGATTAAAGTGAGTGAGTGAGTGATAGTTTTATGCCGCTTTTAGCAATATTCCAGCAATATCACGGCGGGGGACACCAGAAATGGGCTTCACATATTGTACCCATGTGGGGAATCGAACCCGGGTCTTCGGCGTGACGAGCGAACGCTTTAACCACTAGGCTACCCCACCGCCCCCCAGATTAAAGCCTTTGTTTGTTTGTTGTTGAAAGCTGCACTTAAAATTTATCCAGCTATATTTAATATGATCAGGAACAATATTTTATGGATAAACAATTTCTTTACTGCAATGGATGCAGCGTTTCGGTGTAATTGCTAACCGTTATCAAGCAAGTACTTTCAACTCTGTTAGCACCTACACCGAAACATCGCATCAGTTGCAATGAAGAAGTTGTCTATCCATAAAATATAGTTCCTGTTTATATCATGGGTGTTTGTGTGTGATTGAGTCTCAACCAGACAATTCATCGATCCATGCAGTTTGGACATGATGACATGCATCAACCAAACCCTTACTATTATATAATAAGTCAGCGATTAGTCTGTCCATGGAACATGATTATTTGTTTATTGCAGCTTTATGACTGCACTCTGTAACTATGTGAGTCTGGGGCAGACAATCCAATGATTAACATCATGAACATGCAATTGGGACAATTATGTCAATCTGCACTTGATACTAGTATATGGAGTGAGTGAGTGAGTATGGTTTTACGCCGCTTTTAGCAATATTCCAGCAATATCATGGCAGGGACACCAGAAATTGGCTTCACACATTGTACCCATGTGGGGAATCGAACCCGGGACTTCTGCGTGACGAGCAAACGCTTTAACCACTAGGCTACCCCACCGCCCCGACAGAGCAATAGACTGACTACACAATCCATTAAATCATCTCTTCCACAAACAGATTACTGTTTATCGAGAACCCCTACTGGGCCTGAATATCAGTCTGCCCCAGAGGTGCGAACTCTGACACTATTCATAAGCTACAAAAGGGGAACCCTGGTGATATATCTCATGTACCCAATGCTTACTGTAAAAGTAGATAAAATTGAGAATCCAGTGAATACAAGCCAAATTAAAGAGCTTCCAGATGATGACCTCCCCGTGTCACTGTAACACCGGGTCAGTCTCCAAGGCCCCTCATCCTCTCCATCTCAATCCGACACAATTACTACAGCTGACAGAACAGCGGTGTTGAAAGACAAATGCTTATCTGGAGGAAATTGCCATGAAACAGGAAGGAGCCCATTTTGTCCACACAGCAAAATGCCAGGTTTAGAGCTAGTTGTTATCCTTGCACATCATTTCGAGAAATTACAGCATCTCTTTTAGACATCAGTGCAATTACATGGACAGGTGGTGCTCAGAAGTTCTTCATTAACTCGAAGTTTTGTCAAATGCATTTCAGTGACCTTTACAGCAGCCGCGACAACATCATGATCAACTGATAATGTGAACCTGGAACAGCGTGAACACAATGATGCATTATGACTCCAGCCTACTGTCTATGTTAACACCCGAGGTTGCACCAGTTTTTGTATATTGCTAGAAGATGGATATTTCCTTGTACTTTACTTGAAGGTGAACCATTTCTTGTACATTACCAAAAGATTGATGACTTCTACAATACTGAAAGATGGACCAGTTCTTGTATATTAATAAAACACTTTTTTTGTAATTAACTAAAAGATTTACCAGTTCTTGCACACAATTAAACAATGAACCAGGTCTTTCACATGACGAAAAGATGGACCAGTTCTTTCACATAACAAAACAATGGACCAGTTCTCTTACATAACTACAAGGTCTTGACCAAACCAATGGTTGATAGTATGAGTGGCAGTTTCACATAACAGAACTCACCAGGTTCCAGAACTGCAGAATAATGTCATCTCTGTCCAGCTTCAAGTCCACAGAAATGTTTACAGTTCCCATAATACTGTCTCTTGTCATCACAACTGCAGAAGGCCCTTGAAGATCAAGGTTAGAATTGATTTTCAGCAACCTAAGCTTGTCGTAGGATGCAACTTGTAGGATCAGGTTTTCAGGCTTCTTGACTTGGTTGACACATGTCATCATATCCCATTTGCATAGGTCGATGCTTATGCTGTTAATCAGTGGTTTATCTGGTCCAGACTTGATTATTTACAGACCACTGTCATATAGATGGAAATTGCAGAGTCAGCATTAAACATTAAACAACAAACAAACAAACAACCAAACAAACAAACCACTGAGGAGGCAGACTGTCCATGCTGAGTAAACACTCTGATCCAGACAGGAGCTCTAAGCAACTGTGCTGTATAAGAAAACGAGACAGAACACATGATCTCAGCGTTGACTTCAACTACGCACAAAAGATTGAATGTGTGAGTCTGGTTGTCTGCCAATTTGCCTAGTATTTTCAGCTAAATCATGAAATGTCGGTTTTATGTTGGAAGCCTGAAGTGTCTCATGTCTTTATATTTGCCACTTTGGTTGACCAAAAAACAAAGGTTATGATGCTGGACAGCAGAATCAGAAAAATAATTCTATGATTCATAGGATCCTGGCATGCATAGGGGAAGCAACTCTGCATTTCAAACCACAGCTCCTTTAATGAACATTTAACTCACATGCAATTTGAGGAAATAATGTTGATTCACATGACGGATTATATCTGAACATGGTCAGGAATTAAGTCCTGAAATATACAATTTGTGCTCGACCAGAGGGGAGACATAAGTCCCTCATACCACAAAGAGAACTTTGGGACAGACTAGTATTACACATACTTATAACAGTCATCGTACTAGGATCGCTTTATTATAACAAAAACAGTACTGCTACAACATATCCTGCAAGTGTTCAAATTTTGCACTCAGGAATCAAACCCATCCAATGTAAGTTGCAAGCAAGCCCACTACCCACTGTACTACCCCTAATTGAAACATTTACTGAACAAACAAGGACTCACAAACATGTTTATGGATATTTTTGAAGAAAAACAGCACACAATTTCATGAAAACATCCAATAAAATATTCATGTCCCAAATTCTTTAGTTCCGCAAATCAAAAGTGTACATTTTGCAGGTATGTTGCTGAGGGTATGCAGATCAAAAGTGTACATTTTGCAGGTATGTTGCTGAGGGTAAGTTCACAGATACAGGAGTGAGGATTTACATGATTCATACCTGATATTTGCCATGGATTTCAGCTGAATAGTACATTTGTATGTATCAATATCTGAAACCAAATAGTATCCATTTGTATTACATACCCGTTTATTTGTACGATTGCAATACAGCCGTGTAATACGGCCAGCTTAGGCAAATTCCGTACTGCAATCTGCTTTCTCTATGGCATGGTTGCCAGATCTACTTTTTCCAGTGTTTAGCAATCCTCAGACCCTTCCATCTAAAAACATTTGAAATACAGTGTGATCTCAAATGAGTGCTCTAAATGAAATCTTTGAAAGATTATAATCATTAAATTGAAGGTTGTTTGTGTCAAATATTATTGTTTTGTTATTTCTTGATGAGAACCTTGCACTTGACTGATGACGTCAGGCGGAGGAATACAACCACGTATACATGTGTGATATGTCCCTTGTGCGGAGTGATACACAGGTCACAGTAACCTCAATGCTAAGTTTCAATAGTTATGCCTTGAGTTAGATTAAAACAGTCTGTCATTAAGAAGGAGTGTAATAAATATTGATTGTCATAGTAGTCCATTTGGACCTTAGGTATTGAACTCAACGAGGTCATGACAGGGGAAAAACAACTCGGTCTAAGAATTCATTGTTTCTCTCTTATCATGACATCTTTTTTAATACATACATACAAATGAACTCGTATGACATTCTTTGTATGTATTGTACTGAATCAAAGCTTAAGAACTCTTCATATTTCATGGAAGAAGAAAATACTCTTGACACAATCCAAGAAGTAGACAACAATCCAGCCCGGACCATGACGCAGTGCTTCACAAATAATACCGTGACATGTATAGTGTGAGGTGACCATTTCACTTGAGATCCGGCGGCAATGTCTTTGGGTCTTTACAACAGAAGTAGTGGACGATGAGGCCGTTCGGGTAGCGAGCGAAGGCACTGAAACAAACATGACTTACTGTGATACTCATGAAGCTATCACAATGTCTTTGTTGTCATTGTCATTATTCACTAAAACTGAGTGTACATGATTGTACTTACAGAAAGGTCGAAAAGGGGGACAACCCATGTCATATTTGTCTTCATGAGTGAGTGAGTTTAGTTTTACTCTGCACTCAGCAATATTCCAGCTATATGGCGGCGGTCTGTAAACAATCGAGTCTGGACCAGACAATCCACTGATCAACACCATGAGCATCGAGCTGCGCAATTGGGAACTGATGACATGTGTCAACCAAGTCAGCGAGCCTGACCACCCGATCCCATTAGTCGCCTCTTACAACAAGCATGGGTTACTGAGGATCAATATTCTAACTCGGACCTTCACGGGTAATTTGTCTTCATGATATAATTGACAAACTTTATGGGAAACATAATATGGAAGGATAATAAATAGAGAATCTCACCCAAGTGTCTTTAGGTATCAAATATATCACCACGAGTTGATGAAGTTACAAATATCTGAGGCATGCCAAGGATATTTTTACTTTTATCAACAAGTGTTGATATATTTGATATCAGAAGACACAAGGGTGAGATTCTATTTATCATCAAAAATCACTCTTCATTATCTTTCAATGAAAAATGTACATTTCTGAACACGGTTCTGCCATATTAGACTGCCGCCATATAGCTGGAATATTGCTGAGTGCGGCGTAAAACTAAACTCACTCACTCCATATTAGACTTGCAGTGCAGCGATGTCATAGTATTGTGACGTCATCAAGTTCATGACGCCATAGCATTGTCAGGGCACTGTACAAAATCTACTGTCAAAACGATATCTCCTAGGAGATATCGTTTGATCTCACACAAGCAATATCTTATGTGGAACACAGTTTTGGATGATAAAAGAAGTTATTATCCATAAAGTTTGTCAGCAGTGACCATCCCTAATTCCTTAAAAAGAAAAAATAACGAGTGCATGGATGAGGTGAAATGGGAGTTAACATTGTGATCAAGATTACTGCATTCACATAGTGACAGATTGCAACATAGTAACAAGAAGTAATATCTTTAAACATCTTTTGGAATGACATCGTTGGAGGTTGAATCAGGCCATGCAAATACTCTATCCACTAGACCATGGAGTTGGTCATTTCTGGCCGTGGTTTCAAGCTAGGTGAGCACTGTCTTCACTCTCTAAAATGGCTACAATATACTGAGGGAAACAAATAAAGGAACACCACTTCATGGCAGTGTTCCTTTATTTTCTCAGATATCCTCCCAGCCCTATTCAAAGCTGGTGATGAAAACTGGAAAATAGTAAAGGAACACTTGAATTTTCCTGTGATCCTTTATTTGTTTCTGTCAGGGGTGCCAGTATGCCCCAGCTACAAAACATGCCAGCCAATTTGGTCACTTTTCACATTTAGTCGATGATAAATCAAAAAATAATCATAAATGCATTAAAACATGTTCACTAATTGACATTCAATGTGTGTTTAACAGGAAATGTTGAGGCTTCAGGCTATAACATCCTCCAACAGAATAAAATTGATGGCAGCAGATTTTGTCTAATCCGATTTGACCTAAAATCAATTTTGTTTGGAAACCAACGCTGCTCCTCAATAGTAAACAAAGAACTTTTAATTTCAGTGCACTCTTTTATAAATTTAACAGGCAGATTTGATCCAAAATATTTTGTTTATGTGACATATACCGTTTAACAATGATAGGCTTATTTCTCTTTTTTTGCAACATTTATATATCATTCACATTGTACATTCATTATGACGAGTTCTATTCTTCCTTCCATTGTATCCCAGAGCTGTATTCATATAAGCTTATGCTTGTTTACCAATCCGGTTCCTTTCTTTGGAAATAAAATATGTTTAAATAATAAATATTATACCATACTTGTTATTACATAATGCCATTTGTTGACCAAAACTATTTACAGCCAATAAACATATTATACAAACCTTTCATTTTACTCTTGTAATTCTTTACCAAATAATTGGTATTATAGTGTTGTTTATGTACATGAATATTACTTTTGGTCTTATCAGTTTACTAATAGAAGTATATGTTACTAAGACGCTTTCACATCGATGATAAATCAAAATAATCATGGAGTGTGTGAACAGGGTTCCAGATAACATCCTCAACGGAATAACTTGATGGCAGCAGCTTCTTTAATCAGTCCGTTAATCAGGCATTCAGGGTAGAAGTTCAACTATTATATACTATCAGTGCAGTTTTAGAAGTGGGCCCATGCCATCAACACATTGGTGCAGCTAGTTCTTTACCAGCATAAAACCCCATATGTAGGGCACAGACAGACCAAAGATAATAATCTAGACAAACCTTGGAATCAAATCTTTGATCAGTATATCCCTGCCAAAGACAGAATTCCTTGCGAGCCAATGACCGAGTCTTACCTGTCACCGATCCTCCTCCTGCAAACGCGACATGTTTTCTCATCATTGATGATGACCTTGACCTTTTGGTAGTACATTCGCTGCTCCTGGACCTGTAAAACACAATATACATATCACTGTCAGAATAACAAATATCTCAAATGATGCTTTCAGTCTGCACAAAAAGGTCACTCCAGGAAATGTGAAATCCAATATTTATGCAAATAACCCTTTTTTCCTTATCAAATGAACAGGACTTTCAGCTGTGAAATAACAAGCTCTGCTTTTCCTGGTGAGATACTGCCATATTGATTTGACATTTGTGTATTTATACACTGACATACGTCCGAATCTATCTGGTACTGACCAGATCAAATGTTTTACTATTGAAATACATACTTTCAGAGGAAGTGACCTCAAAGCTACTCAGAATATGACACATATATTACATGTATGTCAGATACACACATACTCCAATACATCAGTACATTGGTGTTTCAGTACATTGGTACATCAGTGTTCCAGTACATTGGTACATCATTGTTCTAGTACATCAGTGTTCTAGTACATTGGTACATCATTGTTCTAGTACATCAGTGTTCTAGTACATCAGTACATCATTATTCTAGTACATCAGTGTTCTAGTACATTGGTACATCATTGTTCTAGTACATTGGTACATCATTGTTCTAGTACATCAGTGTTCTAGTACATTGGTACATCAGTGTTCTAGTACATTGGTACATCAGTGTTCTAGTACATCAGTGTTCTAGTACATCAGTGTTCTAGTACATTGGTACATCAGTGTTCTAGCACATTGGTACATCAGTGTTCTAGTACATTGGTACATCAGTGTTCTAGTATATCAGTGTTCTAGTACATTAGTACACTGGTGTTCCAGTGCTCCAGTAGATCAGAACATAAAATACAAGTACACTAATTTGTTCATGAGATCTTGTATTTTATTTTGAGTATCATGATACTTCCCTATATAAGCGAACCTGCTAGCTTGATCTTCAGAATACATCAAGGAACAGAACTGATAAAATAACGATACAGCTGTGACAATTGAAAAAATAAATCCAGTGGTCTGGAATTAACAAGCTTACAGTCAATACTAAAAACAAACAGTTGCAATATTTCCACTTCCAACAAGATTTCCATGGCCTGAAATATGTAAGAATCACAAGCATTTCATACAACAGACTAAAAATGCTGCTCTTGTTTCTAAAACAGGATATTATATCTGTGGCCTTTCATCCCAGTGTTCAGTGAATGATGTGTATCAGATCGCATCATGCCATAACGTCAACAGGTCCCACCGACTTCATGATTTATTCACTACTGCATGCTATAATAAAATTTAGATTTGTTGATAATTCAATATTCCCATAACTACAAATTAATAACACCCTCCAACACTGGCACTACTTCAGAGTCAAAAGTGAAAGTTCAAAGGTCAAGCTGGAGTGTACATGTGTAACTGCTGTTTTCCTCCATGTGGAAAAGTGTAAATATCTGAATTTTGAAAACCTTTCTGAAAACTATTTAAAGGGTCAGTGACTTAAACAGGTATTTTTCACAATTGTTCAATATAATGATCCTTCACCTACTTCCATTACCTAAAACTATATAAAATTTCTTTTGGAATTTGAAAATTACTTTCACAGCTTTTCCATTTGAATTAAACAATGAAAAACACATCTGATAGACCTTTCAAAAATAAGGCACACCAAATGATGACTTTTAAAAGATTATATTACTGATTTATATGGTATATGACCAGATGGTGGCCACATGAATACGTGCAAACACCTAGTTTTGGGTATAGCAACGTGCAGTAATCTTGGACAAAATACTGTGACTATGTGTCCCAGTCCACCCAGCTGTGAATGGGTACCTCGTACGGATGGGAAAGCCGCAATAACTCGGTGCGCCTAGTGGCTGCAAGAGTTGTATGCTCCCCAGGGAGTTGAGATTGATAATAATGTGCCGTTGAGATTGACATCCAATGATAGAGGGAAAAACTACCAGCACCTTGAGCATGCACTAGTGCGTGGATATGTGCGCTATATAAATATCCAATAATAAATAATAAAAAAATGAATAAATATAAATGCTCCATTAATCCCTCAAAGTAGGATGAGACTCCCATAATCCCTCTGGTGGTTCCTGACAGTATAGACTTGCACAAGAAATAATAGTTTAAATGATAATTTCTACAGAAATATAAATAACAGACTGGCATCCTTAGACTGTCCGCCTATCTAGACTTGGATCTTTGAAGAATAGAATTACTATACATCCATGGGCTCAGACATACAGTGCAGCCTTGGAGTAAGGCTACTGACAATACAGATGGCAGATGGATATGGACACAGTTTCCATTGACCTCTGGCTTTTACTGTCTGACTGGTCCAGCTTCCACTCACAACTGACCATGTGGTCTCGATATCACCACATGTCTGTATTGATACACTTGCCCAGAATAAAACATCAAGGGTTCTGGGCAATTATTGCTCCTGATACCAAATCTCTCCAGAGGAAACGGTCAATCGAGGACGGAAATATCAAACTGTTATGGTAGCATCATAATCTCGCGTGGAGGCCATTTATCAATATCTGGTGAATTTGGATCCGATTGTAGTATATGAAACAGTGGGGCTAAAGCCTCATTTATGAGGGTTTCATTAAATTATAGTGACGAGATAGCAGTACCAAATTACACAGGTTAAAGGGGTATCTGGATAAGGTATCTTGCTGATGATAACAGGGCTTGAAGTCATATGCTCTCCCAGACACAACTATAAGCTTCCTCCTGTAGAATTCTTCAGTTTTTTTAACTGACACTCGAAATGTTTAAAACAAATAGAAACATCAGTGTTATGAAGAAGCATGAGTAAATTATTGGTGATTGAGTATAGTTTTACTCCGCACTCAGCAATATTCCAGCTATATGGCGGCGGTTTGTAAATAATTGAGTCTGGACCAGACAATCCAGTGATCAACAGCAGTAAATTATTGGGACAAAGACATCTGTCTTATCTTCAGTACCTTGGGTTGGAATAGCAGCTTGATAATAGACAGATTTGATATTATCCCTGGTGTCGCACTAATTTTCAATGATTCATTCATACAAATTTCATTACAAATTTCTTCGCTGCGAATTGTTGCAAAAATGATCAGATGAGGTGTTAAGCAATACTCACTCACTCACTTGCAAATTTCTAGATAGTTGAGTTTTACAAACTACCCAAAAGGGTAAGGTCCACTTATATATCCCTGTCAAGTCTAGACCAGTCCCATAACCTGAATATGGGAGCTAGACTATACAAAGTACCCAAAAGGGTAAGGTCCACTTATATATCCCTGTCGAAGTCTAGACCAGTCCTATAACCTGAATATGGGAACTAGACTATACAAAGTGCCCAATAGGGTAACATCCACCTATATATCCCTGGCGAAGTCTAGACCAGTCCTATAACCTGGATATGGGAACTAGACTATACAAAGTGCCCAATAGGGTAACATCCACCTATATATCCCTTTTGAAGTCTAGTCTAGTCCTATAACCTGAATATGGGAACTAGACTATACAAAGTGCCCAATAGGGTAACATCCACCTATATATCCCTTTTGAAGTCTAGTCCAGTCCTATAACCTGAATATGGGAACTAAACTATACAAAGTGCCCAATAGGATAACATCCACCTATATATCCCTGGCGAAGTCTAGACCAGTCCTATAACCTGAATATGGGAACTAGACTATACAAAGTGCCCAATAGGGTAACATCCACCTATATATCCCTGTCGAAGTCTAGACCAGTCCTATAACCTGAATATGGGAACTAGACTATACAAAGTGCCCAATAGGGTAACATCCACCTATATATCCCTGTCGAAGTCTAGACCAGTCCTATAACCTGAATATGGGAACTAGACTATACAAAGTGCCCAATAGGGTAACATCCACCTATATATCCCTGTCGAAGTCTAGACCAGTCCTATAACCTGAATATGGGAGCTAGACTAAACAAAGTGCCCAAAAGGGTAAGGTCCACTTATATATCCAGTGTTGTAAACCAGTCCCATAAAATTTGAGCTAGACTATACAAAGTGCTGGTCTGGTATACTCCCTCAAAAGTTAGACCAGACCCTATAACCTGAATTACCAGTCCCAGAATTTTCAGGATTAGATAAAATCCCATAAAATATGAGGAGGTAAATAGGAGGAGGGAACTGTTTAATGTCAGGTTATTGTCACAATAACACGTTTTAAAATGTTTTCAGTCATTATATACATTACAAAAGTGCAAAACAGAACCGTCCGGACGGTCGGGCATGGGGAGTTTGCAACGCTGATATATCCCTGTCGAAGTCTAGACCAGTCCTATAACCTGAATATGGGAGCTAGACTAAACAAAGTGCCCAAACGGGTAACATCCACCTATATATCCCTGTCGAAGTCTAGACCAGGGCCCGTTCCTCAAAGCGTCGTGGCGCCACGACAGTCGTAACTCCCATACTTTAACATAGACTTACGACTGTCGTATCGCTACGATCGCTTTGAGGAACGGGGCCCTGTCCTATAACCTGAATATGGGAGCTAGACTAAACAAAGTGCCCAAACAAGTAACATCTACTTATATATCCCTGTCAGAGTCTAGACCAGTCCTATAACCTGAATATGGGAGCTAGACTAAACAAAGTGCCCAATAGGGTAACATCCACCTATATATAACCCTTGTCGAAGTCTAGACCAGTCCTATAACCTGAATATGGGAGCTAGACTAAACAAAGTGCCCAATAGGGTAACATCCACCTATATATCCCTGTCGAAGTCTAGACCAGTCCTATAACCTGAATATGGGAGCTAGACTAAACAAAGTGCCCAATAGGGTAACATCCACCTATATATCCCTGTCAAGTCTAGACCAGTCCTATAACCTGAATATGGGAGCTAGACTATACAAAGTGCCCAATAGGGTAACATCCACCTATATATCCCTGTCGAAGTCTAGACCAGTCCTATAACATGAATATGAGAGCTAGACTATACAAAGTGCCCAAACAAGTAACATCCACCTATATATCCCTGGCGAAGTCTAGACCAGTCCCATAACCTGAATATGGGAGCTAGACTATACAAAGTGCCCAAAAGGGTAAGGTCCACCTATATATCCCTGTCGAAGTCTAGACCAGTCCCATAACCTGAATATTGGAGCTAGACTATACAAAGTGCCCAAAAGGATAAGGTCCACTTATATATCCCTGTCGAAGTCTAGACCAGTCCTATAACCTGAATATGGGAGCTAGACTATACAAAGTGCCCAAAAGGATAAGGTCCACCTATATATCCCTGTCGAAGTCTAGACCAGTCCCATAACCTGAATATGGGAGCTAGACTATACAAAGTGCCCAAAAGGATAAGGTCCACTTATATATCCCTGTCGAAGTCTAGACCAGTCCTATAACCTGAATATGGGAGCTAGACTAAACAAAGTGCCCAAACAAGTAACATCCACCTATATATCCCTGTCGAAGTCTAGACCAGTCCTATAACCTGAATATGGGAGCTAGACTAAACAAAGTGCCCAAACAAGTAACATCCACCTATATATCCCTGTCGAAGTCTAGACCAGTCCTATAACCTGAATATGGGAGCTAGACTTCGAGATCAGAAGGAATCAAGGGACTACAGTTCACAATCAATCAAAAGGTTCCAAAGCCATCTGCTCTCTGTAATTATCAGATGACAAGCCAAGGGTTTAGACGGAAATGAGATCTTGACTTGTCTATGAGACAAGTCTATGGTGATTGCCTATGCTAGCTGCTTTCTATTCAACAGTTGGTTTTTCGATACCCTGAAAATTAAATACTCACATCCAATGGTTCCATCATTTTGGTTGGTATGTTTACCCTGTTAATGACAGACTGCCTTCGTGTTGCAAAAAGTAATCAGAAACATACTTTCATGAATCTTCAGAAATTACTTCAAATTGTCAAAATGCACTCCCTTTCATGAAAGAGACGGCCATTACCAAACGAAGGAAAACAACTTGCAAAACGTCTACGGCGAGCAACACTCCATGTTTATTATTTACTTCAGTCCAACAAACAGTTGGACTAAAACCCAAATGTCATTTTCATGTCTTTTTCAAATACTGCTGCACTTGAAGGAGATAGAAACAAAAATAACTCCGTTTTATGTGAACCTCTCTTCCATTGCTTTCAAGACACCAGATATCACAGTACCGAGGCATTCTGCCGCTCTGAGAGCTGATGTGCCTGTTGTAATGCTCTGGCAATACTCTCGCAATTACCTGCACAAAATACCTTCAGAATGGCTCCACCAGCAGCTTGTGGAATCATTTTGTGGAGCCAATAACATCAGTTTGGTAGAACAGACACCCTGGCTCCAATGCATAAGCCAATCTTAAAACTATATCTGACTTAACGCTTTGGCATAATCACAGATTTATGAAAGACATAATGCTAAGATCAGTTTATTGAACGGAGTCTGTATGCTGTGAAAGTTACACCATCTTGTTTTTGTACCTTCTGGAGGATAATTCCACAGCACAGCTTGTCTCGTAAATATTTCCATGGCACTTCATAGTGTTTTGTCAGGGAACTGAACGGTTCCATTTCACATTGGTGTACAATTTGTTTTGACTTTCTAAAACAGCTGTTTGTAGGAACATCCACACATTTAAGTGATATGTGATAAGATGACTATAATAGGTGTCAACCCAATCATACCCAGAGGTACAGATAAGCACACCATGGCATACATCATCATACCACATCATACCGCATCATACCTGAGATAAAATCCGTTCTGATTATCTCCGTAACTGTATTACAATTAGAAGTAATAATGCAGCATTTTACAAAATTGTTTCCTCATGCGATGTCTCCATTTTAAAAAGATTATCACTGTATATCCATCATGCTATTATGTTAAGAAAACAATTGTTATCCTCCTAAATGAGAACCTTCTTTGTAATCGCTGTATTTGGGCCGGTGTCCTTACATACAAATAAACATATTTTGACCTTTGACCATTTTTGACAAATGAATTGTGTGCATATCAGCAGACACGGCCATTCTCTCAGCTCATCCTTTTTCAACGAATGTTAAGCCGAATATCGTATTCTACCAGACAGAGAGCCAATATAAAAACATAGACTTTGAGATCATGATGGATGATGACTCAGGAATCACTACTGGAATATGGTAATCTTGCATTCTATAGTTGATGGTCAATGTCCTGGCAAAAAGTACCGTCAGTTTGTTTGTATATTTGTTGTTACCAGCTATATGATGCAGGGGTGGAAATAACCCATTGCCCGACGTCCGAGTCCAGTGTTTTTTTCTGTCGGCAAGCAAATTTGTATATCACACTGTACTGGTGTCCAGTTGACTTTCCAATGTTAATTATGTTGTTTATTTAAAAAATCAGCAAGAAAACGGTCGGTATAGTGGGAAAATTATCAGGGCAAGTGATTTACATGTGCCACTGTACCGGAGTACACTAGCAATTTTAAAGTTATTTCCACCCCTGATGATGGCAGTGTTGAAATAATCTAGTCTCAACCAGACAATCCAGGAACTGACATAAGCATCGATGTATGCGATATGGACATGACCATAAGCATCAACAAAGTCAGTGAATATCACTACCTCGGCTAGTTTGTTGTGTATTATGACGAGCATGGGTGGGTGAAATCTTGGGATACTTTGTCATATGTTCTGTTGTCCACCCAAATCTACTTCCTTCCATCCTTGCATCAATGCATCCATCCACCTCTTAACATGCTTCATTTTTCAATAGATGACCATTTTATGTTCTTTTTGCATAATTAGTTGATACATAACAAGTTTGTTTCAATATGAATACACAACGCCATTTAGAAAGTGGTCAAATGTAACATATGTTAAGTTTGTATCATTTGCACTGGTTGGAATGGATTCACATAGAAAAAAGTGTCACCCTGTAAACTAGAACCTGACTTACTTAACAAATTACTTTAGACAATGTAAATATTTAACCTTCTTAGAATGCTTCTAGGTCTTATGGAGTATTATAGTGATTAAGCTGTTACTGAGACACACACCCATGAAGGTCCGGGTTAGAATTGGTCTTCAGTAACCCATGCTTTTCATAAGAGGCGACTAACAGGATCGTGAGTGAATTAAGTTTTTCCCATGTGGGGATTCGAACCCGGTTTTCAGTGTGACGAGCCAACGCTTTAACTACTGGGCTACCCGACCGCCCCTTCACCATTACTGATGACAATGATGAAACTTTACCAGTATGTGTCATAAAGCATGTAATCTTGTTAGCTGAAGTTGGAACTTGAGCCACATAACATTTATTTGGGTCCAGTAAGCTCAGTGGATGACAGTTCATATTTTGTATGTACTAGTGAGTAAGTGAGTGAGTGAGTTGTGTTTAACGCCGCTTTTAGAAATATTTCAGCAATATCAGGGCAGGGGACACCAGAAATGGGCTTCACATATTGTACCAATGTGGGAATCAAACCTGGGTCTTCGGAGTGACAAGCGAACGCTTTAACCACTAGGCTACCCCACCGACCCTTGGGTGGTCAGGCTCGCTGACTTGGTTGACACATGTCATCGTGATCCCGATTGCGTACAATGCTCATGCTGTTGATCACTGGATTGTCTAGTCCAGACTCGATTATTTACAGACCACCACCATATAGCTGGAATATTGCTGAGCGCGGCATTAAACAACAATCAATCAATCCTGAGACACACAAGCGGTGATTTCTGAGTGTCCCAGTGCTACTGAGCTTCAGGCACCATTCTTTCAATGATGATTGATGCTGATCTACCAGAATCCCCACACAACAAGTGCATAATCTGCATCTAAATGTATTTAAATCTCATCTGTTTTCTCCATCACTCCACATGTAACGGTACATCGCTGAGGAGTCGATTAATCAGCAGAACTATCTCCCCTTTATCAGCAGATTCCTCAGCTAACAACAAACCCCACACCGGAGCACGGTCACCGTGACCCGTGTCACACTCAGAGTCGTCATGCACTCCCGCTGGAACTACAGCTTTTGTTTCACAATAATCAGGTAAATCTGAAAATTACACCTGGCTTGTTAACAGCTATATTTCCTTGGTCACTAGTGTTTGATTTATGTTTCCCTGTGATTTTTCCGTCAAGAATTATAATTTAATATTCCTCTTTCATAAGCTGAACCACTGAATATACCAAACTAATGTAGTCCGTAACCAACCCTTCAGCCCACCAGCATGGTATAATTGATAAAATTTCTAGTATATAATATATAATTTATTATGTTAAAAATTCGTTTGGGTAATAAATATTGAACCTCCTTTCATATCTACAATCTTGCAAAATAAGCAGTTTTTATTATTAAAAGCCATAAACATCAACCTGCACCTGAAGATCTTTCCCCAACAATTGAAACATGTTACACAAACCATACTGTCATTCTGATTGAAATTTTCAATTCAATTTTTACAGTAATTTCATTTAATGAAAGAATGAGATAATGCCTAGTGACAACCTGCTGTGCAGGTGTTCTGCTCTGTTTCACATGTTCTGTCATGGAGGGGGCGGAACATCTTGACAAGAGACAGCTGGATCCGGTGTTCAGTGACAGCTGAATGATGGCAGACGATTCATCTCATCAAACATGTAAGATTGAGTGGTAATAATTTTATTTCATTTTTGCTATTATAAATATGGAAAGTAATAACAAATACATGTATGTAACACCTAAATCAAAGGTATTGTTCACAGATGTCAGATACAAGAGCACTCCCAGCAGAGTTATTATAAAAATACAACAGAAAGTTGAAGTAGGTGGCAGATAAAGTCACTATATAAACGGTGTTCGCGTTATGTCCAGAGGGAATGGATGTTGTTTTATGGCTTGGTCAGCAACCACCAATATTCAGATATATCAAGACATTTATGGGTAATAAGTCAATATTCACAACAGGAGCCAAAACAAAATGACAAATACAGTGGTTGTCTGAAGAAATACAATTGGTTAAAAAATATTTTTTTCCCCATTATTAGTGAAATGTAACACCATATCCCTAAAATACAACAAAGTTTTTTCATAGTTTTGCTAAGGCAAATGGGCAAGGGGAGATAACTCATAAAAGGGTCACCCCTGAAGTTATAAACTCAATTCAATCCTTCTTCAATGACACAAAACTAATTCCTATTGATGAAGTCACACATAATATGCACGGTATAAAACGCTCTGCATCAATAAGCACACCTTCACCAACTTCCACACCAATCTGTAAGTAATCATTTTAAGGGCTTTCTACTAAGTCCCAACATGACAATTCATAATTTATTGTGTCTATCACAGATTTGTTTACATCACACACAACCGTGTAGTACAAATAGGTGACTGCCTAGTAACTTTTATCAAAAACATCCCATTTCAGCTGATTTGTCTCAAATACTTGATTTCTGAAAACAAATTTAGCTTCTGTAGGGTTTTGATAAGTGCTCTTCTTGTCAGTTTTCTATGCAGACGGAGCCCTTATTACAGTGAATACGAAAACAGACCAGGGCTACAGATAAGGGCCGTATCGGCATATGTACGGATAAAAAATATACACAATACGGTAGGAAATAATTTAGAAAACGTAGCAGATACGCACCACAGCAATTGTGTACGGTCTTAGAATCATTTACAGACATATTCATCTGAAAAAGTATTGTTTAATTGTTTATTGACCGTTTACACCAGAGTAGCAATGCTGTGGTGCATATATGAAACGAAGCACAAGTTTAATGATACACCATTAAATTCCATTCAGTACTCTAAATGTACTCTTATTGTTTTCCAGTACTCCTATATTGAAAAAATAAGGAGTACATACTCCTGATGTTGAACAATTATCTGGAGCCCTGCAGACATACAATAAATACATATAAAAACATAGTTGCAGATACTGTATGTCAACAACAACAATGACATGGAATACGGAACATGAATTATTCATAATGAGATGCTGTATAGCTGATATAGATAATTATCATCACACTGTCAGTAATATTTTCAGCAATTATATGATATTAGTGCCAGTAATTGCATAACTCTAAAGAGCACTGTGGACCTTTGTGTCATTGTGGTATTATGGGTCTTGGGATATTGTAGTACTGTGGTATTATGGGTCTTGGGATATTGTAGTACTGTGGTATTATGGGTCTTGGGATATTGTAGTACTGTGGTATTATGGGTCTTGGGATATTGTAGTACTGTGGTATTATGGGTCTTGGGATATTGTAGTACTGTGGTATTATGGGTCTTATGATATTGTAGTACTGTGGTATTATGGGTCTTGGGATATTGTAGTACTGTGGTATTATGGGTCTTGGGATATTGTAGTACTGTGGTATTATGGGTCTTGGGATATTATAGTACTGTGGTATTATGGGTCTTGGGATATTGTAGTACTGTGGTATTATGGGTCTTGGGATATTATAGTACTGTGGTATTATGGGTCTTGGGATATTGTAGTAATGTGGTATTATGGGTCTTGGGATATTGTAGTACTGTGGTATTATGGGTCTTGGGATATTGTAGTACTGTGGTATTATGGGTCTTGGGATATTGTAGTACTGTGGTATTATGGGTCTTGGGATATTATAGTACTGTGGTATTATGGGTCTTGGCAGTATAGGTGTTTTGTGGTATTATGGATCTGGTGGGTATCATGGTATTGTGGGTCTTAGAGGTACTGAAGTGCTATGGTTCTTGGTGGCATTGCAGTATATGGGACTTAGGGGTATTGTGTATTCTTGGGGTATTGTGGTATAATGTGTCTTAGGGGTACTACTATGGCTCTTGGACGTTCTAGTGAACATATGATGCGCACGCATGCAGACTGGACAAACACAAAACTCCCTAGAGGACTGATCCTGGACAAACACACAACTCCCTAGAGGACTGATCCTGGACAAACACACAACTCCCTAGACGACTGATCCTGGACAAACACACAACTCCCTAGAGGACTGATCCTGGACAAACACACAACTCCCTAGACGACTGATCCTGGACAAACACACAACTCCCTAGAGGACTGATCCTGGACAAACACACAACTCCCTAGAGGACTGATCCTGGACAAACACACAACTCCTAGAGGACTGATCCTGGACAAACACACAACTCCCTAGAGGACTGATCCTGGACAAACACACAACTCCCTAGAGGACTGATCCTGGACAAACACACAACTCCCTAGAGGACTGATCCTGGACAAACACACAACTCCCTAGACGACTGATCCTGGACAAACACACAACTCCCTAGAGGACTGATCCTGGACAAACACACAACTCCCTAGAGGACTGATCCTGGACAAACACACAACTCCAAAGAGGACTGATCCTGGACAAACACACAACTCCCTAGACGACTGATCCTGGACAAACACACAACTTCCTAGAGGACTGATCCTGGACAAACACCCAACTTCCTAGAGGACTGATCCTGGACAAACACATGACGAAATGTGAAGCATACAAGCATAATCATTGCAAACTGGGATTTGAACCCATGATTAAGTTTCTGGCTTGCCCAAGGATGCTACTTTACACAACAAACTGCATCACCTTAGACAACATGGCCATCATGGAACTCCTATGCTTGACAAAAACTCACATGAATCATCAGGCCAAGGGATTGATCCTCTGCTCCTCATATAAATTTTTGATTCATGAAAATGCCATAATGTTCAACACAGAAAAATGACATGCATCTACCATCTGAAACTAGGATCATGCAATCATTTTCGGTAGATTTTAGTGTTATCTTTTTGAGCTCAGCTGACTTGACCAAGCCAAATTTTACATGACTTGGGCTTTGGACTAGTGGCTTAAGTTCAAGACTCCAACAAAGTGAAGCCAGGACTGTTCAAGAAGATGATGTATTATACTGAATTTAAAAAATATACTTGTTGAATGTACTGATATGCTGTTATTTAACAAACATCACCTTGCATATATTTATAAGAATATTTGAATATGCTGTTAAGACTTTGTATTCATGTATAAAGGAATAAAAGATTATGAAAAAAAGAGAACAAAGATATTGCCGCATAACTGTTATTATTCCTGATATTATCTCATGATAAGCAACAAATCCTTGCATAGCCTATCTGACAGACGGAAGCCCCAGCACTGCTGTTAGAATGGCCGTCTTCTCAGTAGTGTGTATGGTCATTGGATGGATGTTTTTATTGAAATATAACACTGAGTTTGTCTTGTGACAGGAAGCCTGCTTTCAAACCGCCATTTGTTTCAGCCCTGTTGCTCTGAGCTGTCACAACATCACCGACATTGATGGAGCGTGTTACAGAACAGTTATTGACATTTTGCAAATCAGCAATATTCCATGTTTGAGATTGGATTAGCGGTCTGAGACCGTTATGCAATAAATTCTGTATTGTGAAGCTGACCTAGAAATCCATGTGGACAGGCGCTACAGACCAGCTCATGTCATCGCACCAGCATCGACTTTCCCTGTACTGTGTGGAGTGGAAGCATTTTGTGATAACAAGAAGACAAATGGGTCCCCATATTAAGAATTTGGTTCCATTATATTTTTAATATTATTATTAAAGATTACAAAAATGCACTTCCTGAGTGAGGAGTGAGTGAGTGAGTGAGTGAGTGAGTGAGTGAGTGAGGAGCTTTTGTCAGTGAGTAGTGCGAGTGGAGGAGTGAGTGAGTGAGTGAGCCAGTATTCCAGCAATACAGGAGACACCAATATAGGCTTCACACATTGTATCCATGTGGGGAATAAAACCTGGGTCTGCAATGTGATGACGCTTTCACTACTAGGCTACTGCACCACTCCACAAGGAAGAACAGTTAGTAGTGCTAAAAATATTGTGTGAGGTACTACACCTTCTCAGGGCTCGATTTAAGACATGTTAACCTAGTTGCACCAGGAGCAACCTAAGATATAAACCTAGTAGCACCAGGAGCAACCTAAGATATAAACCTAGTAGCACCAGGAGCAACCTAAGATATAAACCTAGTAGCACCAGGAGCAACCTAAGATATAAACCTAGTAGCACCAGCCAAATTCCAGTTGCAGCGTTGCAACGTAATGTGTTAAAACGTCAGAGGTTTCGGTGCACATATTTCCGTGATGTTGTACCTATGGAACATAGCAACACAGAGACATAGCTGGTTCCAGTTCCAGTCATAACCAAGAGGTGTCTATAAATAGCAATGTTTTGGTGCCATTGCTATTCAAAGTTTACAAGAATATGAGCTGACATATTTATGCTTAAAATGTTAGATTTATTGTTGATTTATTACTCGAAACTTGACTTGCAGCTGGTGCAAGTTAGACTAATAACTAGGTTGCACTTTGTAATATTGGGTTGCACTAGTGCAAGTAACAAAGCACTAAATCGAGCCCTGCTTCTGCATACAAATACTGTGTTGATGACAGGAAATATATGCCACAAAACTGTATCACTAAAGGAACATAGGGAATCTGAAACTAACCATACATAGATGTATGTGGTAACCTTTCATGCACCATGGACCCTTCCAATGGCTTCACAGTGAAGTACGTATTGTACCATCTAGATCCTAACAAGTTTTCTGGATTTGGTCTGTGTAAGAATCTTTAAATACTGGGCAAAGCATGGTATCTGTCTGTGTCATGGTGGTACACTATAACTAATTATAACTACCCTACATTACCACCACACAGATCCAAGGTAGAAACCTGTCTTTGTAATGGTGAAACATTATCCACTAGGTCACCCTTCAACCCATCACAGTTCCCAGGTGAGCATCAAACCTATCTGTGTGACAGTCAGACACACTCACCACTGTCCTACCCTACAGCCCACCACACAGTTCCCAGATGGGCATCAACCCTGTCTGAGTGATGATCAAACACACTCACCACTGTCCCTACCCACACCCACCACACAGTTCCCAGGTGGGCATCAACCCTGTCTGAGTGATGATCAAACACACTCACCACTGTCCTACCCTACAGCCCACCACACAGTTCCCAGATGGGCATCAACCCTGTATGAGTGATGATCAAACACCTACCACAGCCCACCACAGTTCCCAGATGGGCATCAACCATGGTGAGTGATGATCAAACACACTCACCACTGTCCTACCTGCCCACCACACAGTTCCCAGATGGGCATCAACCACTGTATGAGTGATGATCAAACACACTCACCACTGTCCTACCCTACAGCCCACCACACAGTTCCCAGATGGGCATCAACCCTGTCTGAGTGATGATCAAACACACTCATCACTGTCCCACCCTACAGCCCACCACACAGTTCCCAGGTGGGCATCAACCCTGTCTGAGTGATGATCAAACACACTAACCCCAGCTCTACCAATCTCTCCACTAATCTAGCATTCCTTGTTTCCCTTGTGTTATGTGTGCTGGAATACCTCTCAAAGATTATTCAACATCATGAACTTGCTGATACAGAATAAATAAGCGATAACAGCCCATCTGCTGTGATTTCCCTCGACTGGTGCCATAAATGCCCAACACTGACCCAAACACACTAGACTGCACTACGGGACCAAAAATATCAGGTATTTCAAATATTTGTTCAAGAATTCTAACATATCTGGTGACATGATCAGTCTAAAATAAGCTTCATTTAAACAAGTGCCACACATAATACCCTGTGATACATCCTATCTACCTACCATTGCTGCTAAGCTCACATGCCTAGATTTCTTTGACACATCAGATGTGAAGCAGTTTATTTCCATTAAATATCTCAACCCAGAATAACACTGAGTGAAGAATTCCTGTGTTAAGATAATTCTTTACAAAGATTGTGTCAAAACATCTGGCATCCCACTGCGCAAGTGACGTAGTGAAATGTGTCTCTGTTCACCGAACAGGAAATGGGTACCGGATATGTGAAGTTGAAGGTTGAAATATCATATTGTATGGCATGTAGGCAGATAAGGAACTACAATCCCTAGGGAGTAGAAAATGGCAACTCGAATGTGTACTGATGAGGGAACAAATATAAACAAATATAAAAAATAAATCGAGATGTCTGAACAAGAGCCATCAGAAGATGACGCATCCCTGGTTGGGTGCAATTCCGACATGTTTTGAGAGCTGTGGGTACATGTTTAGTGGGGGTAGCCAACATGTTTTGAGGGCCCTCAGCCTCACATGTTTTGAGGGCGATAGCCGGCTGTTTCGAGGGCTTAGGTAGCCGACATGTTTCGGTGAGTACAATGCCGACATGTTTCGAGGAGGGGTAGCCCATGGCTAAAGCTCCCCTCATCCGCCCAAAGATGCTAGTTTGAGTACAATGTGTGAAGCCCATTTCTGGTGTCCAAGACCATGCTATATTGCTGGAATATTTCTACTCGCTCACTCAGTCCGACATGTTTGACTTCTTATACCCCACCATTGGTTCAGTGTTGCTGCACAGCATGTTTTAGCATCCCAAATCATCAGCAGCACATAATGAAGAAATATTTGGTGTCAACATCCAGATAAGAGTACTACCAGTAAAGTCCAGTTTGTCAGGAAATAAAAACAAGAGTCATCAGAAGATGACATATCCCCCCGGCCCCCACATCTTTGAAAGAACAAATCATCTGACAGTTACTTAAAGTCCAGCTTGATTTTAGACTAAAATAAGTGCAAATCGTTTCCATGGAAATCATGAAAAACATAAATGACAAAAATCTGCAAATAGCAAAAGGCACCACTTTGGGATCAGCCTAACATATCTGCCAAGTTTTGCAGAAAAATACTGAACGGTCTCTGAGTTATGCTCCGGAAAAGAAGCCCACCCCTCCCTTTAAGACTAAGTCCAAAACGTTTCCATGGAAACTGAGAAAAATAAAAATGCAAAAATTTGTAACAAAATTTTTACACACTATACCAGTATATCTAAATCATCACAATGCACCAGTTCAGCACAAGCCTAACCTGTATAGAAAGTTTCATCAAGATATTCAAAGGGTTTTGGAGGTCTGCTCTGGTAATCTGCATTAATATTCAGTAACGTCCAAACATGTTGTCATGAAATGGAAAAAACAAATCAGGGATACAAATGCAATTCTTTTTAAGGTTTTAAGGGTGTCATAGGACACCAGACAGATAAGTAGCTGTGCCTTTTTGAAAATAAATGTGCCCATACCTTTTGATGATCCAATTAAACTAAAACATCACAACAATATTATGTCATTTCAATTTATTGTATGTAAACCAGTCAACTTCAGGATTTCCTGCACACTATCAAGAATGCAAGAATAGTTCAGCTTCATACGTCCTGGACCCGTAACTAAAGCTATGTTATCATCCAAAACAGGATTTCCGATTATGCACACTGGCATTCAAAATGGCCGCACCCATGTTAAGCTGTGAGATTTAGAGTGCCATCAATAAACAGTGGGGTGATGGGGTGGGGTGATGGGGTGCAAAATAGGTTTTAAACTTTCGAGTTGGTCAAATTTATCGCAGTTTCCATTTAATGAATCATGGTGAGTATTATTTATATATTTCAGTCGTGCCGGCAAATTTATCCATGCCATTTCAATATTTACCATGCCATGGCACACAAATTAAGCACTATTTCGATCACTGTTTTTATCAAACATACAGTTCTCATATAATAAAAAGTTACTGCTCACCACTGGAAAGATGAGTTTTACTCCAGAAACCAGTATTTTCAGTAAACTGTCAGCTGTGACGAGTCAGTCCAGTGACTGACATAATGAACATTGACCATCAACAGGGATACGATGACACGTCAACCAAGTCAGTTAGCCTGACCATAAGATCCCATTGGTTGCCTATTTCAAGAAGCATGGGGGCGGTGGGGTAGCCTAGTGGTTAAAGCGTTGGCTCGTCACGCCGAAGACCCGGGTTCGAATCCCCACATGGGTACAATGAGTGAAGCCCATTTCCGGTGTCCCCAGCCGTGATGTTGCTGGAATATTGCTAAAAGCGGCGTAAAACCAAACTCAGTCAGTCAGTCAAGAAGCACAGGTTGCTGAAGATCAATTCTATCCCAGATCTTCACTAGTCACGTCTATTATTACTATTATCAAATATGGAGATAACCCCAGTTTGTTTACAACTGGTGGTTCAGCTTTGGTGGAATTGTGTGAGGAGTCAGTTTGTTCTAAGCACTGTTTTCAACACTTTGTCAGTCCTACCATATCAGGGTCGGTTGGGTAGCCTCGTGGTTAAAGCATTCGCTTGTCACGCCGAAGATCCTGGTTCAATTCCCAACATGAGTACAATGTATGAAGTCCCTTTCTGATGTCCCCCGCCGTGATATCATTGGAAGAATGCTAAAAGCGGCGTAAAACTCACTAACTCAGGGTTGACCTGTGTTCGATTTCCTGCATATATACAATTTGTGAAGCCCATTTCTGGTGTCCCCCACTGTGATATTGCTGG